CACTGGAATAAATTGTCTAGGGAGATTGTGGAATCTCAATCATTGGAGACATTTAAGAGCAGGTTAGATAATATCTGTCAGGGATGATGATAGATGGTGCTTGTTCCTGTGATGAATGTAGGGACAGGATTTGATGACCTCTCAAGGTCGCTTCCAGTTCTAATCTATGATTCTTTATTGTGTCACAGGCTACCTCCAGACTGCATCCCTCTGCCGACAGAGGGATGTAGATTAGGCACTTCGAAAGCACAAATAAGCCCGGGATTTAAATATCCCAGGCTTCATTTGCATACTCAAGTTCGGGTGCTGTGCCGATCACGCGCCCTTTCGAAAGTGAAAGTAAAGTCTAGTCACGGCTCTGCCAACAGCGGGGAGCATTTTTGGCAGATCCTGTACTCAAAAGATGAGTACCACCTCAGAACATTTTCTAAGCTCAACAACAACAGGCAGCTGAAAAAAGAAACCTTCCATACTTTACAAATAGACCTCATTGAGGAACAAACTTTTCATTCAGCTCGGGAAGGATTGAAAATAAAAAATAAAATTTAACTACAACAAAGAGCTTCTCTGCTTGCATCTGTCAAAATTTTAGCAGCCTCCGTAAGCACCTCTTTTTGTTTTGATACACAACGTTCCAAAGGAGTTGGAGCGACTCAGAAATGGCGTCTGGTCAAGTTTGCAGAAGGCAGATTGAATTTTACTAAAATACAAAAATCAGAGATGTATGAAGAATGAAAATTAAGTATCAAAAACACTTCAACCCTTGACCACAGGATTAGTCCATACACAGATAGTCCTAGTGACTTCTGTGGGACTATTCACAGCTATTATAAATAAGAGCTTCAAGAACAAGCAGCAAATTTCTCTCTTTAATCCTGTTTTCACTAGAAAATTTAACTAAGTTTTTGACCCCGGTTAACCAATTCTGTCTACAGGCATCTACACTTCAGAGCCACACTTATGTCAGACTCACGTAGAAAGATCCAAGCTGGGACTACAGCAGAGGTGGGCTGTAAGTGGCTCTCAGGATGGACCCAATTCACCAGGGTTAGCCCCTCATGGGCTGCCAAACACTTTATTTATTTATCTGTGGGTCTGCAGATACAGATACTCGCAGCTCCTGGACAATAAGAGCCGCGAGAAGTGGTAGCTCAGCCCACAGCACTTTGAAAAGCTCCCATTGGCTGAGAACAGCAAACTGCAGCCACTAGGAACTGTGAGCAGCCAAACCTGCATATATGCAAGTAAGTAAAGCATCTAGCAGCCTGCTAAGGACTAGCCCTGGCAAACCACATCCTGCCTGTTGACTGCTTATTACCCACCCTGGACTACAGCAAGTAGGGTACAGTTCTTTGATTTCTAGTGGCATATTCCAGATTTTTAACACCTCACTAACCTGAATCACTCTAGGAACTGTTTTATGGTGCACTGTGGGACAATGTACGTCTTTTGAGTTTCTGTGCGTAAGTATTCTAAGCCTACCAACACATCATACTAAAAGCACTTTTAGCTGTGCATGCCCCTCACTTCCACTCCTTTCAATACTGGAAAGGCATGGTAGCACCAAAGCACAATATATTGTTTCTGCTTTTGGCTGATCTGTTAATGCAGCTGGATCTAGTTATAGGTATGAGACATATCACATGACATTATGGCAGCAGCAAGTCTCAGCCAGAAGATCATGCATGCTGGATGCACAGCACAGGAAATAGACGATGCTGGTTGTAACTTCTATGGATTCGTTTTAGGCTGACCACAAGCACAGCGTGTCAAGACTATGTAATTATGTGTTCCAGGGATGAACAGCAGTGAACTTTTGCTCAAGGAAGGCCACCTTCACATAGCCATGTAAAAAGCTTGTCTGACCCTCCAGGACCAGGACTTGCAAATGAGGGAAGTAATTTTACTACCTCAGATTGCTACTGCTCTGTAGCTAACCAGTTTTACATTGGCAAGACAACTGTTGGGACTGAAACAGTGGTTGGATCCAAGGCCATATGAAAGGTGACTGACACTAGAAGTGACACTTTCTGGGCAGGTGGGGGATGGTATGTAGCCCTCCTTCCTGAAATCTTCCCTTTCTTCTACAACTCCATCCCATGGAATTTGTCCCTTCTTTTACAGCTCAGTCCTTCTGCTGGGTAACATATTCCTGACCACCCCTTTCAGAATATACAAAAAGGGAAGTCCAACAATGGAAAAGTTTTGGGATGCCCACAAGTGCGTCAGGGCTTTCTCCTTAGCTCTTGGACTTAGTAGGGAATCTGGCTCCAATGGTGAGCAGCTAAGCTCTGCACCTGGGTATTAAACAGCAGCATCCCTGGATCATTTCTGAGTCCCTCCCCACCAGGGTAAATGAAAGAATTAAACCAAAAATGTTTCTGATTTACCTATACGGTCACCAAGCTCTCTGTTGTGGGACTGATCAGGTAGCAAGCAATGTTATTTATCCCTTCCACTGCTTGCCCCTTCTGAGTTGCTCTGCTTCTCCTTTTAAGCTCCACCTCCAGCTAGTGCAGGGTCTGCAGGTGCTACTGTGCATGGCTACTCAGTCCCGGAACTGTCCCTCAACCCCCTCTTTCTCCATTGTAGAGCTCATACAGGTCATTTTTGCTGTGGTTTACCCAACCATGGTGAAGAATGCTAATATTGTTGAACTAACAGTGCCTGAAAGGTGATGGCACCATCCCTGTACCATTCTCCCCACAACCAGGAGCATATGAAGACATTAACCAGAAAGTATACTATTTGCTCATTATACAGCTCTTGATCAATCACAAAGGCCAGTTTATGATCATCATCATGGGATACAGCAACAAGAAGTATAGTGCTAAGGAATTAATGAGATCTGGCATACCTCTGTTTGGACTAGAAGGGATCTTATTCTATCCAGATAGCATGTTAACAGGGGGTACAGAAAGCCTCTTGATATTTTAGAGGACTTATCTATTGTCTGCTGTCCTAGCTTCAGACATTATATGCTGATGTAAGAACACTGGCTATAAGGTTTAATTGAGCAGTGGCAGAATGGAGGTAGAACATGCATTTGGCCAACTGAAGACAAGATAGCATAAATTATAAGCCTACACACCTGCTTGAATGCCAGCAAGCTGAATGCCATTCATATTATTGGGAGGTGCTGTGCACTACATAACATTTATGAGGACAAGAGAAATATCATTGGGAATGGGCTCATGAGTCTGCTGTTTTGAAGGCCAAGCAAAGACCACTAGAACACATACCTCTGATCATTGGGGATGGGTCCAGGAGAATAGGGAAAGGATGTTTTGTGTGTAACATCCTTACCCTGCTGAGGGAGATCTATGGGAAATGGGATGCTACATAATATTTAGTACACATACCAATTGTTACTGCTTTTATGTGATTTTGAGTAGAGGTTCCTGCCTTTTTCTTGTTTTCCCAAGAATTCTCACACAGACACTGAAAAAAATCACTTTATTTTAAAGTAGCTGAAACATACTTTATCCACTCAGTGGCAATTTAAGAACCATACACATAGCCCAGCTACCACTATCAGTGTCATCTCACTGATAAAGGAACTGCACATTAGTGCAGTACTAGTCTCATCCAATAAGGCATGAGGATTTCATGAATAGCAAACATCTGCCTATATGCACTTCCATTCCAGGAGTACAAGAAATGACTAATAGCCAACACCACCCCCAAGTTGTCCATCAGCAGCAGGACATGGCACTGTCATCTGAGCAGCTGGCTCCCTAATGGCAGCAAGCTGCAGAACAAGTCCTTCTGCTGCTGTCAGTCCTGCTCCCTCTTTCTTTTACCGTGATCTATACAATCCATGACCAGTTTCCCTCCTTCTGGAACTCATCGCGTATGTCTAAATTCCATCCAAATTTATCAGGCATTTCTTGCACTAGGTCCTCCTTTTTCTTTTCCCCAAAAGTCCTTTCCTCAAGAAGCCTGGGTGACTGAATAGGCCCAGCAGGGGCAAAGGCCCTATGAAGAGAATAAAAGGAGTATTTTTTAATCATGGAAAGAAAATGTGTCTGTTTTACACTCTGCATAACAGTAAAGACAAAGTAATATTTCTATTTGCTTAAGATATGGTTGAAATAAAGTTAACATTTAAATGGTTAGATGCAAATTATTTAAAAAATGGGGGAGAGGTGCAGAGGAGCTAGTAAGGCCAACATGACCATGGACTTGATAATAGTGAGGGTCCTAACATTGTTTAACAATACAGCAGTGTTGGAGGATGTTGGTCTACTGGAAATCCCAGACTGGAAAAGGATCAACTTTTTTTTTTTTTTTAAATCAAAGCCTAGAACAAACAACAACAAACCCCCTACAGTTTCCAAAGTGTTATTTAACTGCTTGGTACCTGATCATTGATAATGATTTGACAAGGCTAGTAAACTACAGGGTAAGCATACCAAGTTTGCCCTGCTGAGGAATTTCATTGACAAAATTCTCAAACATTTATTAGCTAGGTGTGGGAGAACATTTTTAGCAAACAAGATGCTGAACTAGGAGGTTGCAGAGGTTTGCTATGAAGAGACCTGCTCTTTATCTTCATTCTGATACACCCCAATCCATCTCACCTGGCCCAGGCAACTTGTTACAAAACAAAGAGGCCCCTACAACATCACCAAAGGACTGTTCCACTTACTGCAGCCAGTGGGACAATACTTTAGTTCTAGTCACAGGAACAATTAAACAGAGCACAGAGCGTACATATTATATATGCATTCATTTTTATTAAACCTGTAATCCCAATTAGATATGTAAAATCCTGATTAACCAATTAAACATAATGTTTAACTGATTAAACAGGGTTGGCGTGGGCTGGAGCAGCCTCCTGACAGCAGCAGGCATGGGACTGGAGCAACCCCCGCCGGTTAACCATAACCATTAAACATAATCCAGTAAGGGTGATGCTAACTGGTTAACCATTCACATCCCTAATCCCAATGTTGAATAAGCCTGTTAATGATAAAAAAATTATAGCTACCTCTTACCTGGCTGTGGCTCCAACTCTGACTCTGGTTCCTCTACAGTCCATTCTTTGGGTACATCCTTGAACAGGTCCATAGAATCCAAAATAAGAGCATCCTCCAATCACTCTGGCCATGTAGGTCTTCTCTGTCCACGAACTAAGTATCAGACCATTCCACTTCAAAAAGCCCATCAAGCTTGGCACTGGGCTCTGTAGTCAGGATAGCATCAAATCTGGTCAAATGCCTCATAGTTAGGCAGGTGAATGGGGAATTGCTGGACATTCAATGGGTGTTCTTTGCTTTGCAGTAGATATCCTTGAGGTTTTTAATTCTTCCCCAAGACTGAACTGTGTCAACTTGGTCCCATTCCTTCCCCAGTCTCTTTGAAATATTCCTGCAGCGATACTAATTTCAACTGCCTCTCCCAAAACTATGTTTTCTTTACTGTTCTCACACCAGAGAGCAACCAGAACTAGTGAAGTAAAAAAAGAGTAGTCAATTAGGTCGACTACCCAATGAGCCTAGAGTTGACTACTCACATTTCCCCCCCCTTGCTGCCTCTATCTCAGAGGCAGCAAGTGGGGGGGAAGGGCGGAAAGAGAGGGAAGCAGGAGCCAGTGCTGTGGGGAGCTAGCTTAAAAGCCTAAGTGAGGCAGCTGTGCAGGGGAGGGGAGAGGCAGGGGAGGCTGCTCCAGCAGCAGCCCCTGTCTGCAGCCAGCCCAGGGTCACTGCGAACAGAGGCTGTTTTGGCATCAGTCTCTGATCCCCTGTTGAGTCTAGGAGCAACCTCTGCTGTGGCTCTGCAGCATAAATGTAGTTTAAATTACTACATTTAAACTGCAGAGCTGCAGCAGGGGTAACTCCTTCTATGTGCCTTCTCTTACCAACTAAACATGTAGTTGATACAAATTCTGCCTCTAAACATCCTTAACCAGAACTCTGGTGTGATCCTCTGGCCAGCTACCAGCACCCAGAAATGGCATCTTCACATGCTGTCCAAACAAGCTGAACTTTGCAGAAATGGAGCATGCTAACAAAAAAGGGGTTAATTACCAATCAAGTGTTCATAAACCAACAGGTGCCTTCGGGTGCAGAGAAGGTAAGAGGGAAGTGACTAAGGGAACCAGAAAAATACAGCTCCTGTAGAATTGTGAGAATGCACTGGGGGACTTCAGTTATGTCCTCACTACAAAGTAGACAGGTAAGACTCAGCATTAAACTGAAACCTGAAACTAGCCTCCTGCCAAACAAAGTCCAGATTCAAAGAAAATTCAAACCTGGATTTGCTACATGTGGACAAGGGGAAGGGAGATTAAAAACACAACATTTTAATTCTTAAAAAGCTAAAAATAAACCATAGCAATAAGGCCCTACCCACATAAATTTTTACTAACACTTCACGATTAGTTAGAATTTGGTTCAACTGAGTTCAAACAATAGCTTCTGTACCTTAGATGTGCACTTGAATGTCCACATCTAGTACTCTGCTTACTTTGTTTTCTTTGGAAAAGTCTCTTGCTAGCTATCCCATACTCTCTTAGGAGTCAATATCCAGAACACATTCCTACTAAAGCCTGCTAGGTAGTGAACTCTTAGATATCCTGCTGGGTGAAGAACAATTGAACAAACTAGGTACATGGGCTTAGTGAGGTATATCATTTGCCCAAAAAGCATGGGCAGACAATCATGTATCAATTCAAGGCTCTCTTAGTTGACACAGGAACTAAATTCTAACTGTTTTGTGCTGACAATCATGGTTAGCTGTAGCAAGGCCAGTCTTAAATGTAACAGCTAGGAAACTTTAAAAAAATCATTTTACCTTCCCATATTACATGTCAGCTTATTAACCTAATTAATAATTTAGATAACCTAATTCAGAATGTGCAATCTGAGCAAGTTTATGTTGCAAAGACAGACAAGTTTTAAATGTCCTTACTTGTGCTGATACATGTAACCTCATATTCAAAGAAATGTATTACTTGGGGGAGAGGGGGTCTGTGGGGAACACTTTGGAAAGCATTAGAATTTTACATTTTCAAATGTAACTGAAATTTGATCTAAAGTCTGTGCCTGGAGTGTATCACATCTACAAAATTTCCATCTGGATGATGGCTACACTGAAATAGAGGAGTGATTCCAAGAAATAAAAAACTCAGCTACAAAATATCCCCACTAAAATGTCAAGCTACTAATTTCATATCACTATCGCTCCCTCCTCTTATATTTCCCTGATCTTTGTGTCTTCTCTCCTCAATTATCCAAGACCTCAACATTACAAAAAGCATGTGTCAGAATTTGTTCTCAAGATCAGGCTTCCTTTTGTCCAGTTCAAACTTGTCTGCCTTCCCTGACAATCACCTGTTCTGTGCCATATATGTGATGGCAAAGAACAGGTGATTGTCAGGGAAGGCAGACATTTTTGAAGTGCCAGCAGAAGCAGCATGAAACTGACCAGATCACTGTCTATCACGTTACTGCTAACAATGAGAAGCAATGTGCAATAACAGATTGGATTAGAGACACATTATTAATGTCTCTCACCATATCAGTCCTGCACCATGAGCTCAGGATCTGCACCCTCCATTTCTCCCAAAGGGCCAGCAGAAAGAAATGGAAAAATACAGGAGGATCAGTTGAGCTTCATTTTACTCTTATCCCACGATGTTATTAAAAACGTGCTAGGTGGAGAAACAGCAGCAATACAAATGCTGTTTTTCACCCTGTAGGATTCTTTTTAATGCAGCCAAAACTCTGCTATGGTACCTTGCTTGTACCACAGGATCCCTGATTCTAGCTACTATAGAACATCTATTTCATCAAACTTTACTGTGGCTTATTAGGATGTGTATGTGCAGAAAATATTACTACTCTTTTTACAATATTAAATTTTATCAGAATATTTTAAGTTTTGCATTATTGCATCAACATAAAAATAAAAGCTAGTCTATAGCTTAGAGTGAGTTTCTACATTATCAATCTTAATAGTGGTTTTCAGTAAGAGATGGGAGAAGAGAAACAATGGACTTAGAAGCCACAAGTTATAAAAAAAATTAATGATCCACTTACATTGTGAGTTTTCATATCAGCTATTAGAATTAAGCAGTGAGATAATGTATATAAGATAACTTAACTTTATGAAGCAAGAGGCTATGCCTATTCATTTACATATTCCACTTTGCAAGCATATCCAAGTTTCATATGAAGGAGATGCAGAGGCATCCCCAACCTACGTAACCCAGTTTTATTACTACATTAGGGCTATGTCCAGACTGGCATGATTTTCCCCAAATGCTTTTAACGGAAGAGGTTTTCCGTTAAAAGCATTTGCGGAAAAGAGCATCTAGATTGACAAGGACGCTTTTCCGCGATCGGGGCTTTTTTGCAGAAAACAAATCTCAGCTGTCTACACTGGCCCTTTTGCGCAAAAGCTTTGCGCAAAAGGACTTTTGCCCAAACAGGAGCAGTATAGTATTTCTGCAAGAAGCACTGATTTCAGACAGTAAGAAGTCAGTGTTCTTGCGGAAATTCAAGCAGCCAGTGTAGTCAGCTGGCAAGTTTTTCCGCAAAAGCAACCTAGGAGAAAATGTTTGGTTACATTATGCCATTACCCCAGTAAAACTGCAGAGATTTGTGGGCCAAACAAATCTATTGTTTGGCTTTTTTAAATGAATTACTCAATGAATTACTCAATAGAATATTTTCAGATAATACAGAACATTCCCCAGATAGAAAGGAAAAGGAAAATATAGTAAGTCATCCAGCCACCCAAGCAAGTACAGGATTTGCCATCAGCATATTCTTCTGTTCTACAGTCTCCTAGTCCATTTAGATTCATGCACCACATTACATCCTGAGCATTTACCTATGTGTTTGGTATACCTTAGCTACGTTTAAATAGGGCTTTCATTATTTCATGTTATAACACATCTCCATATTAGAAAGTTGTTTGACTAACCTCTTACCAGCTAGTAATTCCATAATTGTCCATAATCGAACACTATACAGTTTCTCACACTGGTAAAGTACCCAGCATCCTCCAACACTACCAGAAGATATGCTCTGAACTATACTGATCATTGGTCTGATTTTGAATAGCAATTTCTACTTTCCTATAGGGTCAATTTGCATGTCCCTTTCCTAGCCATACCACACTGCACTGTCTTAAATGCTCTGGGGGCGACATTGCCCAGGCCACTGGCAGCACAATGAATCATTCCAGTCCTATTTTACCAGACAACTTGCTCGTCAGGCGCACTCGGGGATTTGCTGCACAGTTTTAAAGCTCATTCATTTGGGATAAGGGTACTTAGTGCACGTGCAGCCTTACGGGCTCGCCGGTTCAGGGGCCGAGGTGTGTGCACGAAGGGGGGTGCCCGCAGCCTGGGAAGGAACTGCCACTGCTACAGCCATGTGCCCCGCACAGGCCCCCATTTCAGCACCGGAGGCGGGGCCTGCAACTCCCTACCCCGGGGAGGAAGGAAGGGGCCCTACGGCCGGCGCAAGGATGAGTCGCCGCGTCGCCGACACGCCCCCC